AGGTGGCCAAAGTATTTGGCCACCTAATGAGAAGGAAGGACTCCCTAGAGAAGAGCCTAATGCTGGGAACAATAGATGGCAAAAGAAGAAGGGGACGGCAGAGGATGAGGTGGCTAGATGGAGTCACTGAAGAAGTTGGTGAGCTTAGGTGGACTCCGGGGGATGGTGGAGGACAGGAAGGCCTGGAGGAATGTTGTCCATGGGGTTACGATGGGACGGACACGACTTCGCGACTAACAACAACAACAACCAGAAAAGATATTAAGTTTATACTCTTCGGTGCCAGGCCAAAACCTTTTTATTTAAACAGTATTTTAAACTCTAATAGTTTATAAGTTTAGTCACTCTGTTTGGTTTATTGTTTTGTTCTGTTTTATTATTGAAATTGTTGTTTTAATTGTCCTTTTAAATATTGTAAGCCATCCTGAGATTTTGTATAATGGGACATACAAAAGCTCTTGATAGACAGACAGACAGACAGACAGCTCTTAAAACTGGGCAAATACCTGTTCAATAGCAACTAATTAGTACTCATATTTGCCCAATATGGTCATGGTCAGCCCACCTATGAGATAAGATGAACCCATTTCCTCAGGTGGCAGTTCAGAAGAGGTGGCAGATCTTACGCCATTTCATCCAAATTTAAGACATGACGCACAGAAGGGATAGGCTGTGGTGCAGCGGTAGTGGTGAAATAAGACCTGGTCACAATTCTTGCTGCCTCTATATCCTATGATGGCTGGCTGGGCTGGAAACAGTCCACAGCCTGAGTGAAGTTTCCCTTTGGTGACTGCTGGAGAGAGCCAAAGCGAGCTGTGGCCATGGCAAAGGTAACGGTAGCACCCTGATCCCTTTCTCTCCCTCTGCTTTGTAGCCTGATGGAATAACTGCTGGTAGGTGATCACTGAGGTGGGACTAAAGGAAGTCATTTCTTACGTCTTTGAGAGGAACAATTGTTTGAAATTTGATGGGCTTTAAATAAGTAGGCAACTTGTAGGTCAGGTTCAGATATTGCTGAGCCCTGCTTCAAAACTATTTAAACTCATTTGTTTGTCCTGTCTTCAGTTGTGAAACTAAAACAAACTTGGCAGCCTGGAACAAAAACCTTGAATTTCCGAAGTCTAGATTTTAATGACGACTTGTCCTTTTTCAGGGGCATCCTCCAGCTTGATGCCAATGTCATACCAGTGGTTGCGATCAGCTTACTTCAAGATATTCCAGAGAAGACAGATAATATAGAGGAAAAATGTATTTAAAAACATTTACTGTAATTGTATGAATTTGTTGACCTGACATTTGGCACTTGATTCTTAATATATTATGTAATTTTTCCTATATTAAGCCTATGAACTGTCAATGTTTAAAAGACACTTAAGGCTGAGGCCTGAAAGAGTGAATCTTGTTCCTCTTCATTTCAACCATCCTAATATATCTTGCCAAAAGAAAAAAAAGTAGCAGTTTCCTTACATAAGGACTTCACTAAGTTCTAACTTCTATGAAGTAATTGCCCTACACTGATTGCATGAACATGCCATGCTAATCCAAATAACTTCTACTTGGAAATACCTGGAGATTTGAATACTTTTCCATGTAAATATGATTAAGATTACAGCCTTAAGCTCTACAGAGCAATCGAAAATAAGTGAATAGGTCCCAGCAACATGGAATAGAGTAATAGTGTGAACAGGATTATACACATCTGTGACAAAAGGAAAGCTACTTTAGGCCTATTATCCTTAAGCGTGCCTTGTGGAAGGGGTCAGGAGCTTTCTTACTGTCTTACACAAGTAGGTTATTGCTGCAATTCTTTTTTCCCCCCTCTTCAAAGGCAATCGGACATTACAAGCACTTTATTCAGTCATTTTAAATAAGGTCTCTCCCCACTAAAAGTTGTAAGCATTTGTAAAACTGTGCTTCTTGAAATTGTAGTACAGTATGTCTCTTGCCCAAGAGCACAAATGTCTTTTTTAAGATGTTGATGTACTAAGAGCAGTTTTACAGATTTGTATGATCACAACTTTACAATAAATCATTACCTGTTGAGAGAAACTGGAGATCATGTACAGTTCCTTTTCAAGGCAGGAGAGGAAACTCAATGTCTGCAAAACTAACTTGACTAGCATCTTTTACCATGGGCAATTTATTATGTAGAATTTCTAAGGCACACCTCAGGATTGCCGCCCAGGAAGAGACTAACAAAAACATTTTTAAAAGCACTTTGCAAAAGCAACAGCACCACAAAACATCAAATCACCACAGCAGTTAGCTTAGGTGCAGATTTTCATACAAATGCTCCTGTGAGCAGGAAAGCCATTTTTGCTCATTTATCCCCTGCACCTCCATGAAAATAAATTGTGGAAGGTTGTGAGAATTATAGAAGCAGACACTGGAAGCTAAAAGGGGAAGTTAGCAGGAAACCCTCATCCAACTGCAGGAACTTCGATGATGACTGAGAGACTCCACTGGATTCCGTTCGCGTCTGCAAATGAAAAGTGCTCTTTTGTTTGCAGAAGAGTGGGCAGGATGCAAAATGCTACTGTTACCAAGTACCATTAATTTTTCCTACTGGCACACTTGCCATTCAACACTTAACCAATTGTTCCAATGGAATTTTATTTCTAAATCAGAATGTTAAAGGAAAGTCTAGTAAGCTTTGGTAGGCCAGAACATCCAATTCAAACATCCTCCATTCCACAATGGTGAACAATTTGCATCCAGAAAGCCCACAAAATCAGATCTTAAAGGCAGTGGCCCTCCCTCATTACTAATCCTTACTTATTTGACATTTATCTTTCCGTTATACAAAAGAGTCTCTCAAGGCAGCTTTAAATTGATTAAAATGAAACTTAATGTCCCTTGTCCACCAAAAGGACCTTCTCTTGGGTTGACACTAAATGTATTACTGAAGGTAGCAGTCTCAAAGCCTCTACATTTGAAGTTTTCCAAACAGCGAGGGTACAATCCTAAGGTAAGGATTGTACCCTTGACTGCAATGGATGTACTAGCATGGGAGGGAGGGAGGATAATATCCTCCATTACAAAAGACAACTGTGTCAAGGTTCTCAAGATGAGATTTCTTACTGCTAATTAGATGAAATTGTTTTGAACCCCCACATAAAACAGACTATATTTTTCTATGCAAGATTGTCTAAAATGGCTCTTGAAACTGTAACCAATGGATGAGATGGAAAATGTGGCAGATGCCGACACGTGACAAACCCAACCAGTAGAAACATGGTTAGCTTGCCAAGAAATGAGGAAGTGTGCTTCCACACAAGGTTTTTTTGCCCACTGCCTTCTGTTTATGTCCCTCCTTTTGTTTTCCTACAACTTTAACTTGTTTCTTGTTGCAGAAAATATGTTATGAAAGAAAAGATGGAATAGGGACCCTCTGTCTGGAAAACCCTTAAGGCTACTAGAATCCATTCAATTTGTTCAACAAAAGCCATGTAAAAAGGACTTTAAAAAAAGCATTCAGTAACGTTTTAAAATTAGAACTACTAAGAATGGACACTGGTGCAAGAGGTAAAAATGAACTGCAGTTTAAAAAACTAGCTTTATTATTAAGTGTATTGCTGTTATGTGTAATTACAAAAGTTAAAAAAATAGTACTCCGTGCCCTGCAGCACTACTTTTTATTACTTCTGGCATTGTTTGAAGACTTAAGGCAGATTTCTCAAGCTAGGAAGGCTTAGCATGATCCAAATTCAAATATCCATTTCTCATATTTCTCAATGTCCGCAGCAGAGACTGACTTTGAAACTTTCTTTAAAGCCATTTCAAAATCTTCCATTGTTGTTGGCATGTGCATTTCATCTCTAGAAAGATTTCTGATTTCTTCTGGTGTCAAGCCTTCAATTCGCCTTCTCATAGCCATCAGTGAAGCATCTCTGTTGATAAACAAACATGGTGTTAATGGAAATACACAATACCAAACAAGTGGCACTAAATTAGTGTTTCACAGCTGCACTGGATGAACACTAGAGGCCTTACAAGAATTAGGGAAAACACTGTTTTTACTTTCAGTACTAATTGGAAACATATTTGAAGACCTCATGCGCAGAGAAAAACAGACCGAGTTCATGCCAGATAAGTAATGTAAAACATTTAGAAACCAAGCCAAACAAATACTTCCAGTTAACAGAAATGTACTTTCTCATTCTCCCCTCGCTCTAATCTAATCTTTTGTGGTTGGTGGCTTTCCAGCCAGGCAACTAAGGAGCCTGCTCTATTTCCCTGCTTCTTCAGGTTACCAACCGGGGTAAAAGAAGAGCAGGCCAATCTGCCTGCTCTCCTTAGATGTACAAGAGAGTGAGTAGGAACAATAATGAAGGCTACTTGCTTGGGAAGTTGTTTTACCATTAAATTAAACTAAAAGGAATAGTGTGACAGGAGCGCTACTCTAAAGCCAGTAATCAAACACTGGTGGCATAGCAACTTGAGTGCTTCTACATAAACAGTCTGGATGTAAAAGTAGCCCTAACTAAATGAAAATTCCAAATTTGTATGCTTTAATATAAACATGATATTAAAAGTGCTGTAGCTTTACCATACCTGCACACATTAGTGATGTCAGCCCCAGAATAACCTTCCATATTTTGTGCTATAATGGCAAGATCAACATCATCAGCAAGTTCCAATTCTCGGAGGTTAATTCTCAGAAGTTCCTCCCTGCCTTTGGCTAAAAAGCAAAAATATTCCAAATATAACAAATGCACAGAACATATAATATGAAGACTTAACAAAATTAAAACTTACTGAATAATATAATTACTGATCCTAATTAAAATACTGGGCCTTTAAAAACAGGCTCCTAAACATGCACTTGGGTTTTCTCTTTGCTATCCTAGGATCAATGTATGTGCCAACCTTCCTTTGCAGGTAAAACTTTACATAGAGAACATCTTGACCATTCTAGCAAGTGGGAGTGCATTTTGCTGCAATCCCACTTGGGAGAGTTCCTGCCCTACAACCACCCCTCCTCACTCACAGTCCTCCCATAGTTATCAGTAGAGACTCAGTATTCAAAATCCCAGTCACACAAATGGATTGGGTTTTCTAGAATGAAGCTTACCCGATGGTAAAGGAATATAAATTCTCTTCTCCAGCCGACGTCGTAAGGCCTCATCAATATCCCAGGGAAAATTAGTAGCAGCCAATACCATAACCATCTTGGAAGGATCATCATTTTCAGAAGCCCCTCCAACACCTAATCAGAAGGTAAAAACGAATTAAAAGAACAGAAGGTGACATATTCAAGTCCATGATTCTGGAAGTTACCCCAAGCCATTAAAATTATATGAAATTAGCCATCCACATTCATGGGTGCACAAACATGTAATAAAGTGTCTTTTGACTACTTGGATTGCTCCCCTGGCTGCTGTATCTAATTATGCTTAAAAAGATGGCACTGAAGTATTAAGACAGCTCTGCAAAGGGAACATTTGTGAGAAGTCAACTGGCCTGCAAATTCAGCAGATGGCCTGCAACTCCAAGATCACTGTAATTCAGGCACCAGGTGTTCTTGGGAATATATTTGACTATTTACATGGCATGTGTAAAACATGAGATCTTGTTGATGCCTAGCTTGGTTTAGGCAGCTTCCACCACTGCATCCTGCAGTCACTAGGCAAAAAAGGCAGGCTGCTTACCTGTACCTGCTGCTCTTCAAGTGCTCATCTGTGCATTCACACACATGGACTCTGTGCCTATGTGGAGCCTGTTACCAGGAGGATTCAATAGTTAAAAGTGTCCTGGTGGGAATCCCCTCCCCCACTCTGGCACCTTTGTAAAAGGGAGCCTGTATGCTTGAGGCACAGAGACCATGAAGAACCCCTGCAAACAAAACATCAAGCCATCCTCTAGATATTCCGGTATCACACCTGTCGATGGAAGCATTCTGCTAGATAAAATGCCTCAACATGTGTCTTGGCTGCATTGATTTTGTCTGTAATTTCCTGATATACTTTCAGAATTCAAAAAGGAAATACAATGTCACAGATGATTCTACAGGCCATGGCTGTGGAACCTCTTTTAGCCCAATGGCCAAAATCCCTTAAGAGAAATTGGGAGGGAAACATGCATTCCACTGATTGGTGGGGAAAAATACTAAAAAATACCACATTGTAGCTTAAAGTTCTTACTGCTTGCATCTAGGCACTTGAACAAGCATTCTGCTAAACATTTCTCCCACTTCTTAACATTCTCATTTGACTTGATAAAAGAAATGCTTTTGAACAGAAATTGCCATGGATTGTGTTTGAGTCGCTTGGGCTAACTATACCTCGAAGGCTGCTGAGAAGTGAATGCAAGTGTCCTGTTTTTCCACTGTACAATCATCTCTGAAACAGCCTGTAGCCTCCTCAGCTTACCACACTCCAGTTAAAGCCCAGAGGAAAGCACATGAGTGGATTTCGCCCATAGGCAAAATGCATGCACGCAACTGGGAGGCTAGTAGGTAAGCTCAAGACCACAGCCTAAACAGCCTAAGAATGAGGCAGACAGCAGATGGAAACAAGGGAAGAAAACTTTTAGGAATTGGAAGAGATCTTGACAGAGCACTAATTTCTCCTCCTCCCTGGAGCTAGACACAACACTGTCCTCCACACCCACACCTGCATTGTTGTTGTAAGCTGGTTCCTTCCCTCCTCCCATCTGATTCCACAGCTCAGAAACAACCCTTTGAAAATGCATTTCTTTTACTGAAACTCCACAGTTAACAGAATTGTTTGGGTTCTAAATAGCCTTCTACCAAATCTGGAAATAGAAGTCTCTGCTCAGGTAAAGAGCTGAATCCTAACCGGAAACTTCTCAGTAAAAGCTTCTGGCTGCAACCTCCAGGTGGCTCTTGCGGCTGAAGAGCAAGATGCTCGAACAAGACACCCTTCTGACTGAACAGTTCTTTTCTCCCAATGCTTCCTCACCGAGCCAAGGACAAGGTCTCACACCTGCTCCCCCTCCCCTCCTGAAAACCCCCTCTCCCACTGCCTGAGAAACTTCACCAGGCACAGATGAAGCAGCTTCAACAGCTCTGGGGCCCCCTCGCTCCTCCGTT